AATTTAAAAAAAATAAAAAATCACTTATGGTGTAATACTGCTAGTATGTTAAAAAAAAAAAAAATCTGATTTGCCTTATTCCTGCTTAAAAAGTATCACTGATTTCTCATTGCCTTAGAGATAGTCTTTGGCATAAGTCAAGGCTCTCAAAAGATCTAGCCCTGATTAACTTTTCTGGTTATATCTGCTACTCCCTTACCTGTACCCTGTTGTGTCTCTGGTATATACTACACTACAAACAAATTTTTACAACTTGTGTTCTTTTACACCCCTACCTTTGAATGAGTTTGTCTACTTAGATTGCTTATTCCTCCATCAGGACCTAGCTCTAATGTTACTTTTAAACCCAGGCAAAGTTAGTGGTTACCTTTTCAGGATTCACAAAGCATTTGAATACCTTTGTTTTAAGTATTTTAGGTAGTTGAAATATTTTTTGTTTTTCCATTATGCCTACTTTCTATCAGCTCAATATTTTTTGTTTTTCCATTGTGTCTACTTTCTATTAGCTCAGTCTGTTGGGGGAGGCATTGATATTTTAGCTTGGTATATTCAGACTAACATGCTTGACACCAAAAAGATAGTCTTTATATAATGAATAAATGTTTTGATGGTAAAACTTTAGTAATAACTTTACATTTTAGAAGTAGATTTAAGTTAACCTATAGTTTCTGTGATTAGATTTAAAGTTAAATCTTTTCCTAGACACATGACTTCTCCCTGCTCCCTCTTGTTTAATTTTAAGACTTCATTTAGATTTCTTACATGTTTATTTAGCCAGACTTGCACCTTACATTGTGTTTTAGTGGGATAAAATATGGGTCCCAATAGCACTCTGCTTACAGTGGGTCTCTCCTCTTGGTTTTTTTTTCTTTTCTTGGATTTATTGGAAGGAAACTGGAGTAGTTAACAATTAAGAGAATAGCTAGCTATAGGTAACCATAGCTAGCAACAACCTCAGGGACTGAACTTGCCTATCTATTTGCCAAGTCAGCTCTTTGCTATCTCTGCCACCCAGTGTGATCTCTCTTTGTTTGGATTCACCATGTAAATTCAGGGTACATGCCTGCCAACAACTCTTGGTCACATCTTTACAGCTCCTAATTAGAGAAGGAAGAATTGTCCCTTCCAGCTTCATTTTGAAAAATCTTGGGCAAGGATGGATGGAAGACTGATCAAGTCCCATTCCAGCTCATGTTACTTTCCAACTCAGGGCTAATCATTGAGGCTGAAGGAGCAAAATTATATGATTAGTCCTGAGTAACTGGTTTTTGGTAGCTGACAATCACCCAATACTACAGTTACATGTTTGGAGTAAAGGAAAAGTATTTCCATGAAAGCAGGGTAAAAGATGGTTTATTGAGTAAGTGAAATGTCTGCTACATAGAAGAGCATCTAAGATAACTCATTACTGTGCTTTTTCTCGTATTTTTTTTTCCCCTGCTAAGATATTCTTGTATCTTATTTGCTTATGCTATGGGTGTAATAATGTCATGACAGTTATTTGGTATCTTAGAAGAAAGTGCTGGTACCTGATTTAAAAGACCTGTTTTGATTCTTAAAGTTACTTAGGTCATTTTTCAATGTTGAATTTAAAGTAGATTTTAGTACATAAGTTAATTGGCCGGATTTTAATTTTTGATTATTACTTCAGAGATGTCTTGGTCATGGAGAACTTGGAAAATAAGGTATTTAGAAATTATCTGAGAGATAAAAGAACCTGCAGTTACAAGAGTAAAGAGCTGAAATTCGGTGCTAACTAGCGAAAATTATACCTTCACTCTAAAAGAGTGATGATGCCAACATAAAGGCTTAGTGATTTATAAATATCAGCGTGCAGGAAAACTCATTTCTTTTATAAGAACTATTTTCTTGGATTCTTCATAATTAAAAACGTGTAAATTTCAAGTAGGATGTAGGTCAACTTTATAGATTACTGAACTTTTATTTGTAATGACATCGTTTCAATATCATTTGGGTATTTTGTTAGACCAACCATCATCAAATTGGTTTTTAATTAAAAATAACTGCTATACATATATACAATGGAATATTACTCAGTCATAAGAAGAGATGAAATACTGCCATTTGCCACAACATGGATGGACCTCGAGATAATCATACTAAGAGAAATAAGCCAGACAGAAAAAGTTGAAAATCACATGAGGTCACTTATATGTGGGATATAAACCTAAAAGCAACAAAGGAACAGGACAAAGATTCATGGAAGGGAGTGAAATATAGGGTTTAGGGGGAAGATGAAGTGGGTAAAGGGGATCAAATATATGATAGCTGAAGAAAACTGGACTTTGGGTAGTAAACACATTAGAATATACAGATGTCAAATTTACAACGTACACCTGAAAATTATATAATTGTATTAACCAATGTTACCCCAATAAACTTAATTTAAAAAAAAAACTGTTAGATGTTTTTCTTTAGGAATTTTAATAAGTCTGTTATATTGAAAACAATATAAGTATTGAGTACATAATTTGGGGTAGATAAAGGTAGGAAATTCATTTTGGTAATGTTTGAATTCAAATGCTTACCACACATTTCTAGGTAGGACCACATAAAATTGCAGTTTCTATAGTTCAAAAATAGTCAAATATTAGTAGTTTCATATGACTCAGGCTAATAACGTGGTTTCTTTAAAACCTCATCCACAAACATTCCTTGAATTGCTGATCTTGTGTTGCTAGTGTATAACATGTCATGGTAGTATAGTTGCTAGATGACATTATAGACAGCTAAGCATAAATATTTGTCACATAGGCAAAAGGTTTAAATGGGCTAAGGCTATAATAGTAGTTTATTTGTGAAGCAGTTTTTTTTTTGTTTCATAAATGATTTGCCTACGGAGGAAATCTTGCCTTCCAGACGGGTGGTCTACATGTTTGCTTGTTGAGTAGCTAGTACATTATGTGCTAAATTGTATGCCAAAGTGCTTTAACTGTCATTCATCTTTTCAAAAATTCTGTACAAATAGACATTGCTATTTTAGAGATGAGGAAGTAAGCATAGGAAATAGTGGGTCTAAGTTAAATTAAAAGTGAGACTCCAGACTGAAATAATATTGAGGGAGATATATACTCAGTGCCCTGATTTTATGATGCTATGTTTGAGCATTTGAATTGGGGTTTTAATAGCATTTATATTTGGGTTTTAATAGCATTTTTGAAAATTCAGATCTTTTGTGGGAAAGGAGGCAGGGTGGTTTAGAACTGGTATGTTTTTAACCTTAAAATAGACTTTTTAAATCCAACTTCCTTAAGGAAAGAGAATTAGACTGCCTAAGTTAGCTTCTGGTTTTTCTTTTTGGTGGGCCAGTTACACAATAGAACTTGTTATGAGTTTCGGAATGTGGGAAAATTCTGTTCCTATCAAGACTGTGTTTGTTTCTTATCTAAAGTATATATACCTTGAGGTGGTGTTAAAGTAGATTGCCATTATAACAAAACTGGCTACTCATGGAATACACGTAATTGCTGGGTGAGATTTGATCTAACCTATGAAAAAATCATTTGCTCAGTAATGGATTGTTGATTAATTCATGTTGCCAGTACATTTCTTTTTTTACTCAAAAAACGTAGTTTTTCAAATACTTGATTGTTTCACAATTAATTGATGTTTTCGTAAGGGTTTTATTGTTTCGTTTTTTAACTAAAGCCATGCATAGTTTCTTATAACCAGTTGTTTTACTCTGAGATGAGTTTCTGTAATTCCTACTGATTAGAATCAAAAATGTTTGGAATTAATTTTCTCCTATTTAATATGTTGGACATACAAGGATATATTTATATAGGCAAGCGTACAGGTCTGCTCTGATCTTACATCATCTTAACATTGTGAATCAGGGGCTCTCTAGCTGTTTTGATAACCTATAAGCAGTTGTGGTATGAGTTTCAGAAGCAAATGGGCACTGTTATCAGGACAGTTTTTTACAGTTTTATTGAGATATAATTGACATACTGGATTTCAATATACAAGTAATGATTTTACATATGCATATTGCAAAACGATTGCCACAAGAACAATTCTTTGTATTGATTTTTTTTTTAATGGAGTGTGTCTAGACTGACAGTCTTGAACAACTGGCCAATTTCTGAAGTACATTTTGACCATTTGATAGAGGCAAAAATTTGCTCTGGTCTTCCTACAGTGTTTTGCATTCCTTGCATTTTCTTAGAAGCCCATTATTATCTCGGGGGCTATATGTTTTTATAGGCATTTATATGTAGTATATGTAGATTTAGCTTTTATCTTAAATTTGTAAAGAAACTAGTGAAGAAATTACTTTCTTACTAGATTAATTATGCACAAGTCAAGGAAGGACTGAGTACATATTTGTGGTAAATAACAAGGTCAGGTAGAGTTGTGGAAACAGCCTGTTCTGCTAAGAGCAGAGTTCTGTTAGGTTCTTCCAGAGTTGCAGTTTTCCTCAACATTGAATAAAATTAGGTTGAATTGAGGGACTAAGGAAATCAAAAAGGGGGTACCTACCTAGCTAGTACCATGAGATATTTTTCGAGTGAAAAATGAGGTCAGTGGATAATTGGTTCAAAAAGAACAGGATTTAAGACAGTAAAAAAGAAGGCCTCTGAGATGGTCTGAAAGTTCAGCAAATATCATGAATGTTGAGAGCCGTATTGTCTAGGTTCTTAAGCTATGAAAGTATCTGATTACCACTTTTTTGGTATGTTAAGATGACAGCTGTTAATATAATAATTTTCATATCGATGTATGTATATACTTTTGTGAACCCTAGCCAAGATGATTGTCTTGAGTGTGTGTATTAAATAACTACACTTACTATACCCCAGAGACTGTGCTAGGGTTACTTATGTTTTCTCTTTTAATAAACATATTGTTAAAATATGAATTGTGATAATATGTTCCTTAAAGAATAGGGCGAAAAAAACTGGAGGTAGTTAACTCTCTTTGCTTAGTTTTGTTTTCTCTTACGGTTACATGACCCATCATTTTCTGTCTTGATGTAGGAACTTAGTGATTTGGCCCGTGACCCTCCAGCACAATGTTCTGCAGGTCCAGTTGGGGATGATAGTAAGTAACTCTCAAGTTGATTTTTATGACTAATTTCAAAAAAAGGCTTGTACAGTTTCACATAATAATAAGAGTTTTTTGTTTTTGTTTTTCCTAGTGTTTCATTGGCAAGCCACAATTATGGGACCTGTAAGTATTAAGAATTAAAAATTTTTTGCTTTTAATTGAAAAATCCAACATCTAGTTGTAATTTATACCTAATATTTAGATTTCTTTCATTGTGATTCTGTTTTGGATATGCCAGTTGTACTCTTCTTTTGAAAGAAAGAATAATTTAATGAATTAGTCATTTGTTATGGATACTGTATGTATCTGTTACTGTGTTCAGGTTCTAGAGTATAGTATCTCTGACCTACCAAATATCTGCTCACCTCAATTTAGTTTTCTTTAATAGCAATATAAAGCATTGTCACAGAGCTTCCTGTTGTATTTGTAGAGCCAATTAATTTACTGGCTCTACCATAATGTTATTCAACGATCTTATTCCATTTGGGAAGTTGCCCAAAATCTAGCTTTAATTGTATTATTTCGTTATTTGATTCTTTATAGAACTTTAGTTTTATGCAAAATTTGAATATTTTTAGGTAGAAAGTGATATTTTGAATACAGCAAAATTCCTTTCTATCCTGGGTAGATAAGAAACTGTATATGCTGGATAATTGAATATTCAGAATTATGGATACCATCTAAGAATTTCACAGAATTAGAACGCAGTAAAACATCCTGGGGTAAGACTGTATCTTGCACAATACTTAACGTTTTTTTGACTTGCAAGGCACTTTAGGATTTCTATTCTAAGTTATATGTGTATCTTACTGAATTTTCTGCTTTCTTTTTTGATGGTTTAATCTCAACATAGATGGTGATAGTGTGCTAGGTGAGATAATGATCAATAAGTAGATGTTTATAAGTCTGAACGACGCAATGCCCTTGGAAAAGTTAGCCAGCAGATGGGTTATCTACAAGTGTTTGTTCAGCAGTTCAGATTTTGGTAACTTTGATCTGTTTTTTCTGTCTCAACCAATGTGAGCCCTTGCTATGTGCCAGCTATTACAGATAAAAATGAACATAATAGGCATGAATCCTCTTTATTTAGGGAGCTTAAACCTGTGAGAGACAGGAAATTAAAACAAGTGTGATAAGATGGGCAGTAAGTGATATGTTAATGAAGTGCTTAGTAGGAGAAATTTATGGGAAATTATAGTAGGGATGATTGAGTTAGAGTAAATGACCTAGAGGTAGGAAGATTGTGAATTAAATTAGGACATAATTTAAATTATGTCTGGATTATTCCGAATAAAAACGAAATCAGGATTATTTGTTTACATTTATCTCAAGAACTATTTTTACTGCTTTAAATTTTATTTTGCTAACAAAATTGTGATTTTTAATGTTAACTAGTGGCTTACCTAGTTTGGTCCACGAGGTATTTTAAAAGTTGGCAATCTTTGCATAAAAACCGTCTGAGTAGGCCCTCATTCTCACAAGCGATAATGGCTTGGGATAGAGTAGCAGCTGATTCTCTTTTTTTTAGGTGGAGTTTGTTATCTGCCACAATTCCTACCAGGTACACTTCATTTTGCCTACCTAGATTTGTAGGCACTTGAAATTGCTTGGAACTTTTATTTTAGACTTTTCCCATTATATAGATCACGAATTTTTAAAGCAAAGAATTCAATAAAATGCTTTACAGTGTCTGTACCAAATAAAGTTCATCCTTGATTCAGAGAGTGCTTTAAGATAGTCTCATAAAAAATTAGTTATCAGTACTAATAAAGTATGAAAGAGCTGGTAATCAAGACTTCTAATTGGATGGTGTACATAATAAACCAGCTCTTAAAATTAGTGGTGTTTTCATGCTTGACTTTCGAGACTTTAATTGAACTGTTCCTTTCCAAAAGGTAAGGAAACAAATACCTACAGTATTAAGAAAATATTTTTTGTTTGTTTTATATATATTTCAGATTATGGCCATTCCTTGCTAAGTTTTTTTCCAGCAACCTTTTAATGCACATTAATGACTAGCAGTTTTCTACTTTTAAAAACAAATATTTGATTTCAGAACTACTTAAATATTATATTCTCTGATTAACAAACACAAAATATATATTTATACCACAACTGCAGAGTTTTGCTTTGGTTACCATTATTCCCTGAAATGTATTTGTTTTCTAGGAAAGTTAATTCTCACTGTTTGGATAATTTCAGGAAGGAGTCAAAGGTTATAAAAACTTACCCAAAATACAGATTTTATTGTGCTCTTTATAAGTAAGCTTGTCAGCTTGTAAATAGCTAATGATTATCTTTACTGTGGAATTATTCATGAAATAACTAATGTTCTTTGGGCTTTTGATTGCATCTTTGTGTCAGAACAGCACCATTCGATTAGATAAAATATTACCTCATTTTGGTAGTATGCCTATCCTGTGTGGAATGCATGTGTGACCCAAAACAGGGCCACTGGTGACGTAACAACCCATAATTGCAGATTTGCTGAAAGAAAAGTGGTAACAAAATTACTTTTGCTTTGGAGTATTTCTTAGGTCAAAGTGATGGCAGTGCTACAGAACTAAAGATTCCTGACTTTCTAAGGAATGGAGCATCTAATTTAAGTTTTAGTTCAGAGTAACTTGAATTTTAGTTGATTGTAGTCAAGAAATGGCTCTTGATCATTAAAGTTAGGAGGCAAAAATTCTTGGTTGTAATAATCGTATATGCTGGCATTTTTGAATTTAAGATACTTTGGAAGCACAAATACTCATAAAAACTAAACCTTTGAAAGAATTGACAGCATTGCTAGTATGTCGTTTTTAAACTATTTGGTTTCCTGTACTATATTAAGGGCAATTCCTGTTGAGAATTGAGGCATTGAGGAGAAATTCCTTACCTATTATTTCTGATATTTACCTGCTTGGTTTTTCTATAATTGGAAATGGGAACTGGCAAAAAGATATTTTGAAATTATTTGGAGAACCACATTAACATAGATTACACCTTATCTATGACCATAGAAGAAAGTATATGCATATCTTGGAGGTATTGCAAGTTCAGTTCCAGACCATAGCAATAAAGCGAGTATTGCAGTAAAGTGAGTTGTAATCTTTTTGCTGGTGAAGGGTCTTAGCTTTGTTTAAAAAAAAACTTAAAAAGGCAACATTGTGAAGTACTGTGAAAAGAGTTATGCCTGTACCATAACTGTGAATAATGTAACATTTAGCAGCCTAGGCAAATCAGATATTAAAACCATCTGAAAGGAAATAATTGGTTCATTGGTATGTTTTATTGGTCCCTTAAGTGTTATATTTTTCAATTTATGTTAAGTGTGTTGTCATTTCCTGCAAAGTCTAATGATAGAAAAAACTCTTACCTTCTGTACCGTACTCTTTAAGAAGCATTGTGGTCTAGTAGAAGAGTGAAGTATAAATAATAAGTATGTGAGGTAATAGTAACTATACAGAAGGGGAGATATAAGAGGACAGCCAGCAGATTGGACTAAAGAGAAGGCTGTATTTCGGTACCATCCTGAAGGTAAAGAAGATGAGGACACAGATAAGAGTGTTTCAAGTAGGGGGAAAAATATAGTAGGGAAAAAGAAATGTGAAACATACATACTTCCTTTATTTGCAGTGAAGAGAGCATATTCTGGTGGAAGATGAGACTAGATTGGTGGGAACCAGATCATAAAGCACCTTGTGTGCTTAGGAGTTTGCCCTTTTATCTTGAATGCTGTGCTAGATTTCAAGCAGGGGAGTAATTTGTATCTTAAAAAGACCACTCTAACAATAGGGTGAGGAATAAATTGGAGAAGAAAGTCAGTGTAAGCAGGAATACCAGTAGTAAACCATTGCCATAATGGTGGACAAAAAATACAGAGGCGTCTCACCGCTTATCCATGGGAGGGGGATACATTCCAAGACCCCCAGTAGATGCCTGAAGTCATGGATAGTACCGAACCCTATACATACATATCTATGATAAAGTTTGATTTATAGATTAGGCACAGTAAGAGATTAGTAATAATAAAATAGAACAGTTATAACAGTATACTGTAATAAAAGTTATGTGAATGTGGGCTTTCTCAAAATACCAGTACTATACATACCTTTTTGCTTAAAAGGAAATGCTTAATGGCTTCTCTCTGGCATATCCGAATTGCCATCATCACTACTTTTGCCCTTTGGAGTCGTTATTAAGTAAGGGTTACTTGAACACAAGTACTGAGATCCTGTGACAGTATCTGATAACCAGAATGGCTGCTAAGTGACTAACAGGCAGGGAGCATACAGAGCCATTGTATGCTATACAAAGGGATGTTTCACATCCCAGGTGGGACAACATGCTACTCAGAATGGCATGCGATTCTAAACTTATGAATTGGTTGTTTCTTGAATTTTCCACTTAATATTTTCTTACAGCAGGTAACTGAAATTGCGGAAAGTGAAACCACAGATAAGGAAGGACTACTGTAGGATCTTGAGCTAAGTTAGTAGTGGCAGGCATAAAGGAGAGGAGGCTAGTTCAAGAGACTGTAAAATTTGGGTCGATTTAATGATCAAAATGATCAAATGTTTTGTTTTTCTTTGTTGTATTTTCCCTTTACTGTCAGTTTATGGTAGATTTGATAGAACCTCAATTTTTTAGATGGCGTAGTTTAGTTACTTCTGGATCCAGTAGTTTTACCAGTTTTTCCTCTTTGGAGTTTTAATGTTAAATTGTAACATTTGAAATATTTTTATTTTATCAGTTCTTTTTTTGAACAAGCGAAATGAAATTTGGCTTTGCTTAAAATCTCATTAGATTGCCTTTATTCAGAAGCAGTTAGATATAACACTTGACAGTAGATAACATTGAATGAAAAAGCTTAAACAGAACTTTTGGAATTGGGCTATAAAAAAGTTTTTAGGATTACTTTTAAGTTGTTATTTTACGCAGTACAAATACTGATCTTCAGTATTAGCTTATTTTATAAAACTATGCTGTTTGCAGCATCTATTCCTAGTTAATGTAGCTGTCTGATAAATCTGTTTCACATTCTGGTGCTTTGCTTTATTTTTTCTATACTTCTCAGATGCTGCTTTCCAGTCTGTTTTTTGAATTAAAATTCTATAGACGAAGTGAAAGGGAGTTTGGAGTAGAAGGGACTCAATTTAAATTCTAGCTCTTCCATTTCCTAGTCGTATGTTTCTTTGAATTTAATTCATCTGTAAATTGACCTTTCTCTTTTAAACACAAGTACACCCTGTTTTTCATATCTGTAACATTTCATTGCATATCTCTACCAGACTGTAAGCCCATCAAGATAAATTGTTCTGTATGTCCCTTATATATATACACCTAGCATATAAAAGGGGGTTAGATTGATTGAATTAGTAGTGTTTCATTTTATGGAGGGCTGGGGATTAAATGAGCTATATTAAAGTGTCAGACCTATAAAAGTTTTTGTTTGCCCGATATCCAGAATGGGCATATTGAAAGGTTATTTTTTAGCACTATATACATATTCTCTAATGGAGTGGGGTGGATAGGCAGTTAAATGATTTCGTATTTTCTTAACTAGGTCACTGACTTCTGTCATCACTCTTTGGTGTTGATCAGTGGTTTTCATACAATCTAGCTTGAATACTGGTTCTGTCATACGTCATTTGTACACCTAAGACACTTCTTTAAGTCCCAAATATTGCTTCATGCTAAATTATATAATATTTATTTGCTAAGGGAGTTCTTTATACTCAAATTATAATGAGCAAAATGGCAAAAGAGAAAGAGTATTGCTAGTTTTCTGTTGAAATGGAAAAACATTCCACGTTGCTTTCCATATCTAGTAATCTGAATTCAGTATGCTTTTGAAGAAAAAACTTCCATGGTTTTGAATGAGAATTTTGAGGAGCCAATTTGGGAATTAAACTGTCTAAAATCCTATTTGGTTTTTGTTCTCTTTCTCCTGTTGGTTTGCCAAGTGGCCAGAATGTCCTATTGAGAGGTACAACGCCAGTTGTATATATTATATGGCTATCATTCTACAAATGTAAGAACTTATTTTGAAGTTATAGTTCGATACATAATACTGTATGTAGATTTTATTGCTTAGTATACTTTTCCTTTGTGAGAATGAGGAGCTAGAACACTGTGTTTCTGGATCATTTTTAAAATTTTTCGGTGACTTATGTAAAATGAGATCTAAGTAAATTAGAGTTCGTGTTCTACAGTAAATTTTGATTGTTTTTTCCATTAACATGAACTGAATTTTGGAGTAATTTAGACCCTTATTACAGTGTAAATAGTAGGTAATTTTGGTTCATGATAGGGAAATACTTAGAAAATAGAAATGTAATGGATTATTTAGCAATAATATTTTAAGTATCGGTTAAGCATATTTTTCTTTTCACAGAATGACAGCCCATATCAAGGTGGTGTATTCTTTTTGACAATTCATTTTCCTACAGATTACCCCTTCAAACCACCTAAGGCAAGTATTTTCTTCCAAAATCTGTTACTATAGATTTGTTCTTTATTTCAGAGGAATAGAGTATTCTTACAAATTAGGCTTCTGCATAGTTAAGATTAAGTTGGTGTGTGTGTGTGTGTGTGTATATGTATGTGTATATATATATATACACACACACACACATACCAACTTAATCATATTATATAATGAATAAGAATAATTGAAGCTGGTTACATATATTGAATTGAGTCATTGATATGGAATGCTGACTTGACCTTTAGTTAAAAGAGCAACTAGATCTGGATTTGACCTTTGTAAATGGAGATAAGAATTGCCTTATCCTCAATGTTGCAAAGCTCAAATATACTCTGGATTCTCTCCCTCACTTTATTACTGTGTTTATACAGATTTGGATTATTAACCTTAGTGTCTTGTAATAGTAGGCTTCAAATATTTGACTTCAGTATGCATTTGCACATATTACTGCAACTTAAATTTGTGTTGAGGCTTAGACTAACCATTTTGAGGGTTGAGCTTGCATACATAACTGAACAAATCTATCAAAACTTAGAGTTGCTTAATGCACTGAGGTGGACTGGTTTACAAGTATTAAAAACATGTATATGGTCCTTGACTTTTCAGAGCAATATACACAAATTCAACGTATGTGAATAACTAGAAGGTAATATATACATAGAACATTGGCACTTCACTATAACCATCTTCACCATGTACAGTAGAAATGTAGACTCAAATACATACCTTTGTAACGATAATCTTAAATGAACTGGTCTATAAATTTTGGTTTACATTTAGCACTTTCTTTTTTAAAGATTTTCTAGATGAATGTTACAATCAAAATACCCTTCCAATTGCTCTGTGATAATTTTGATGTGGTAGGGCCAAAGTTAACCTTCAGAATATTCCACCATATCATTGAGAATAACATTTTTGCCCTAAAGTTATATTTTCTATTTTAGTTAAAAAGAGGGGGCCCCTGGGGGACTTCGGTCAGAATATAAAAGCCAGTTTCTGTAATTTTTGTTTTTTTTATATGTATGAATTAGGTTTTAGCTATTTGACTTTTTAATTGTGGCAGTTATTTTAAACCTTGCTAGAAGTCTTCTATAAGTTTAGAATGCTTGTTTTCATTTGGGAAAAATACCTAAAGGTTTTTTTTTTATTTATTTTAGGTTGCATTTACAACAAGAATTTATCATCCAAATATTAACAGTAATGGCAGCATTTGTCTCGATATTCTAAGATCACAGTGGTCTCCTGCTTTAACTATTTCTAAAGGTAAAATACTTTTAAAGAAAGTCTTGAGCTGCTCTGATTTTCTAATAGTTAAAGGACTTTCATTGGGGGGAGCTACTTTGAGTATTATGCCAACTTTTCGGGGAAGGAATAAAAAGTTATACCATTTTTGCTATTTTAGCAGTATTGATTAGAGAAATTTGTGGGCAGCAGTTAAAACTAGGGTATTGGTATTATTTGCAAATAACATCAAATAATAAAAGCAAAGTTTATTTTAATTGATTTCTGTAGTAGTTTTTAATCCCAAGCCATTTGCACATCGGGGCTGCTTTTTGTCTTTTAACTAAAACAATATCTCTAAAGTTAAATTTTTAAATCTTAAGGTTTCCATTGCAAGAAATTTTGGTTTTGCTTTTCTGTGTTTACATGTTTTTTAGATAAAAAGCCATTTAAAAAAAAAAACCTTTAGTTAGGTGTTGTGTGAACATGGTATGTTGTTCCTACTTAATAACAGTCTAAAATTAGTCTTGGAAATGTCCTTAGAGCAATACTGCTCTTCTACTTTTAATAGGGATCCATTTAAAATTACCACCACAGAACTACTTAATGGGAAAGAAGTCTGCCTTCAAGTATTTCTTGGTATTGGCCTAGCATTCCTTAGGTACACAAAATTAGGCTTTTAATGTTATTGATTATGACATTTATAGACATTTGAGGATAGCAGTTAACTTTAGCATCCTCACATTGTTTCTTGGAATAGTTCATGGTATTTTACAAAAAAAACTTATGATTTCTATAAGTATGGTAAATTCTAAGTGAAATAGGGTTCTAAGGCCAGGACATTTCTTCCATAAGCTTGTACAATACAGTTGAATCTCCTAAGGGGCAGTGTAGCATTTCCCAAACTTTTACTTGACTAGAACCACTTTTGAGGGGAGAGAAAGGGAAACTGAGTAATGCTTTCATAATTGTTCTAAGTGTAACATAATTTTAGACCTGTTTTTCACTCTCTTGGATACATTTCAGTTTCCTTTCAAATAAGACTCTTAACACCACATACCTAGTATTAAGAATACCTTAATACTAGCTAGCCTCCAGGTGTTTTTTTGTTGTTGTTGTTGGTTTTTTTTGTTTTTGGTTTTGGTTTTTTTGTTTGTTTGTTTTTGCTGGTGGGAATGCAGTATAATACTAAACACTGTTTCTGTAAGTGTAGGTTGAGTTTTATGCATCCCCCCACACTTGGGTTTAAAATATTTGCTTGTAATATGTTACATTAATGTTGTCTTATTTTATGGCATGTTTTGTCTTCATCTGAAGATTGTCCTACCCACTTGAGGCTTTTATAACTTAAAATACGATAGCACCTTGTACAATGTCTGGCACATAAAAGGCATTCAAAATGAATTAGATACATGTTCCATGAAGCTTGGCATCTTTGTTGAATAGGTTAGGGTAAGAGCTAGAGTTGAAGGCTCACTTGGTAATAGATGTTGGCATTTTTTCATTTTGTCAATACTCTTGGGGATATTGCCTCTATCTTATCAATTCAAGGAAATAACACAGTCAATGGAGCAATTGGGAGTTTTTGTGAAAATTGAGAGCAGGATTATCTCACAGCTAAGAATATTATGGTATAGATATTCCCCAAATGTTCTTTTAATTAAAGTTTTTTTTTTTCCTCAGAGTACCAAGAAACTCAAGTGATTAAATTCTAATGCCACTCGTTTTTTAAAAATAACAATAAACTACTATGGCATTATTTGGTGATCTCAGAACTCTTGAGTTTGGCAGTATTTTTATAACTAGTCAGTACTAGACCCAACAGAGCTCAATTTGTAGCATTTCTTATTTACCAGGAGCTTGTCTCCTATGAAGTAAAATCTCTGTAAAGCTTTGTCTTGTTGAAATTAAGATCTAAACTAATAAAAAACTTTTGAAGATTGAGGTTATAATATGTGGTTTTACTTGATTTCTAGTTTTATACCATCGCGTTTGGAAAAGATGCTTGATAAAATTTCAGTCTTGAATTTGAGACTGTTCTTGTGGCTTGACATGTAATCTGTCCTAGAGAATGGGCCATGTGCATTTAAAAAGAATGTATTCTGCAGTTTTTGGATTAAACTTTCTGTAAATATCCATTAAGTTCATCTGACTAATATGACATTTCAGTCCATTGTTTCTTACTGATTTTTCTATGTGTATGATCTGTTCATTGATATAAGTGGGTATAATTTGTGTTTTTAAGTACTTTTCTTTATCCAAATTCTCGATGCTGGGTAACAGACATTTATTTTCTTGCAGTTCTTTTATCCATTTGTTCACTGCTATGTGATCCAAACCCAGATGACCCCCTAGTGCCAGAGATTGCACGGATCTATAAAACAGACAGAGATAAGTAAGTATGTAGTAGTTTTAAGGAAATAATACAAAAAGTTGTCTTTCTTAATGAGTTAGGCTTATACTTTGCTGTAAGTTATGGCAATGCCAAGAAGCCTTGATGCTTACTTTTGGTAAGATAATAGTTTAAGTAATGCAGTAGCTAGTTACTGAAATGGGACTATTTTTGAAAATTATTAGGTTTTAGTTTTGTGACAATGAATAACCCCTCTAAAATGTTTTCTATTTCTAACATGTTCAACACTCTGTCACTTTATTATTAAGTTTTGGAGAAGAAAGCAAATTATTCACCTCAGTTAAGTTTTTGAAAAAAATATAGGTACTATTGTAAAAATTTGGTCTAAATTTCTCAAATATTTGAATTGTCTTTATATACAACTTCACTATTATAACTTTCATATTGTTATAATTAATGCCAAGTATACTTGTTCAATTAGGTACAATAGGTTAGCAAGAGAGTGGACAGAGAAATACGCTATGTTGTAGGGTAAGAGGATCTGCACTCTATGGTGCGCTTATTCATGGTACTGCCAGCACTTGAGTGCTGCATGCTTTAAGGCACTGTATTAACTAACAAAAGGTAACCGATGTCGGCAGTTTTCTGAAAACTATTTAACTGCTTGATCTCTGTTTAGCCTGAAAGTATACCAAGTAGTCATTATTGCTTGAGAGTATTTTTGCATGATAAAGCAGTTATATAGCATTAGTAAGAAATGGAAATTTAAGTAGTATCTTTCAAACCACCATGGTGTTTAATTTTAATGTTAAAATTGGTATATTTTAAGCTTTATACCAATGCTATATGGAATGTGGTGGTTTAGTTTAAATTTTGCCAAGGGATAATGTATAAAGGGAAAACTTTCAATTAAGCCTAAGCATCTAAACTAAATGTTTATTACTGACATGCATGCATTAGTGTTAGCTCTACTTTGTGGCTCCCTGTATGCTAAACAAAACCTTTGTTTTAAAGCACTGGCTTTTTGAGAAGGTGTCCTTGAATGTGGTAACCATGAATTGGTAGAAAGAACTTCTCTATGTTAAAGTTTAGAAAAATGCTTGAATCATGTTTAGTCCTTGGTTTGAAATGAAGCTAGTTTAAAATCTTAGCAAGTTCAAACTATAAATAAATATCTAAAAGTTCTGCGCCTTTTGATGTATATTCACTTCTTAAGGTTAGCACTATATTTTTTGTTGGTAAGTAGACCAAGGCATGGGTGTAACAGGGAAAAATTGATATCATTTATCAATATTAGTGATATTCCCCGGTGATAAATAACCTTGCTTGTGTGTCTGTTGCCCTCGGTTGTATTCCTAGAGATTCCCATTCATTGGTCTCAAATGGGGTTTGTTACAAGCTCCAATTACCATACTATTTAAAAATAACACATGTGGTTCTAATTAACACAGTCCATTGACACCCACCTCCTCTTGAAAACTACCGCTCTTTTATCAGTAGTTTTAATGTCTTAATCTTCTGCCTGTGCCTAAGTTTCAAAGGCATTTTCTCTTCTGGTATTACCCGAGGTCAAGTAACTTCTCAAAGTCTAGGAGTTAGATAAAATGGTTAGTTAACTGGTGTTATAGCTGTAGGTATACAGAATGTGTATACTGTTCTGACATAAGTCCATGGTGAACTGTAAAATAATTTTTTATATGTTAACATTTGTTGGAATGGATACTAATTATAGATTTGTAATAGAAATTAGCTGAGTGGTAGGGGAGAGAAAAGGTCTTTCTGTGATTTTTGCTAGCCTCCCCAATCTCAGTGTCACTTTATTGTTTATTAAAATATTTTTAGTGTTTTGGAAGCATAAGGTTTTCATTTCCCACATTGCTTTGAGTACCAATGCTGTTTCTTCCTGTCGGCTTTATTCTAACTATAGCCATTAAATGACCGATGAGTCAAGGTAAAATAGAAGTCTTTCATTCCCTTTTAAGTAGTAAGTATTCTTCATTTTAACCTTTTGAATAACATATTCTTTATTTACAGGTACAACAGAATATCTCGGGAATGGACTCAGAAGTATGCCATGTGATGCTACCTTAAAGTCAGAATAACCTGCATTATAGCTGGAATAAACTTTAAATTACTGTTCCTTTTTTGATTTTCTTATCCGGCTGCTCCCCTATCAGACCTCATCTTTTTTAATTTTATTTTTTTGTTTACCTCCCTCCATTCATTCACATGCTCATCTGAGAAGACTTAAGTTCTTCCAGCTTTGGACAATAACTGCTTTTAGAAACTGTAAAGTAGTTACAAGAGAACAGTTGCCCAAGATTCAGAATTTTTTTAAAAATGGAGCATGTGTATTATGTGGCCAATGTCTTCACTCTAACTTGGTTATGAGACTAAAACCATTCCTCACTGCTCTAACATGCTGAAGAAGTCATCTGAGGGGGAGGGAGATGGATGCTCAGTTGTCACATCAAAGGAAGCAGCATTATTCTAATTGCATCCATTCTTGTTTAAGCCTTCCACTGTTAGAGATTTGAGGTTACATGATATACTTTATGCTCATAACTGATGTGGCTGGAGAATTGGTATTGAATTAATAGCATCAGCAGAACAGAAAATGTGATGTATTTTATGCATGTCAATAAAGGAATGACCTGTTCTTGTTCTACAGAGAATGGAAATTGGAAGTGAAACACCCTTTGTATTCCAAAATAGGGTCTCAAACATTTTGTAATTTTCATTTAAATTGTTAGGAGGCTTGGAGCTATTAGTTAATCTATCTTCCAATACACTGTTTAATATAGCACTGAATAAATGATGCAAGTTGTCAATGGATGAGTGATCAACTAATAGCTCTGCTAGTAATTGATTTATTTTTCTTCAATAAAGTTGCATAAACCAATGAGTTAGCTGCCTGGATTAATCAGTATGGGAAACAATCTTTTGTAAATGCAAAGCTGTTTTTGTAAATACTGTTGGGATTTGCTTCATTGTTTGACATCAAATGATGATGTAAAGTTAAAGAGTGAATATTTTGCCATGTTCAGTTAAAAGTGCACAGTCTGTTACAGGTTGACACATTGATTGACCTGATTTATGCAGAATTAATAAGCTATTCGGATAGTGTAGCTTTAGTCTGCTGCACCTGATACTGGCAGCCCTGGAGTTCATAGGTGGACTTGGGACCCAGCAGTTTTGAACATGTATATGAAGTTTAAGAAATTTATTTTCCAGGTGCAACCCCCATCTAACTAAATTTTTTCTTCACCTTGTACACTTGACAGATGAAAAAACCATAACATGGGAGTAATGATGGGTTAAAATTTACAAAATAAAGTACTGTTTTGGTGTGGGAGTTGTCATGAGGCTGTGTTGAAGTGACTTAACTATGGTGGGATATTGAGTATCCATTGAAATGGATTTGTTTAGCCATTTACATTAATGAGCATATAAATGCAACAGATATCATTTCAGGTGACTTAACATGAATGAATAAAAGTCAATGCTATTGGATTATTTTTTGTTTGAAAAGTGCTATGTGTGCCACTAATTTAACTTCTGTAGTAACAAGGGCATTATCATTCTTCACCCTTCCTAATTCTGACTGTATAGTTTCACTTTTTTCCCTAGTTATTTTGATTTGTCCATTGCTTTCTTACAATCCTGTATTCAATTTCTAGCACATCTGTGACTTTTCTCCACTTCCACATTTTGCACTGCTTACACTTATGTGCAATCTTAATCCTTGTCTGCACACAGATGTGGAAAGCTAGATATAAAATAAATGTTAAAGCTTGATTTTTATAAACATTTTAATAATGTAGTTTGGACATGATTTATTGACTTAAGGTTCTTCTCTAAACTGGAAGTGAAATGCATGCCTTCCAAAGATGTTCTGGCTTTGTTAATTCTGTAATAAGCATTTTATTGAGAAATATCAATCCAAGCTATACAATTTTCCAGAGTGAACTTTTTTTCATCTTTTGCTTTAAAAATGACTCAAGGATAAATGTCATTGTCATACTGTTAAAACTATTTTGGATTGAAATTACAAATGAGAAATTAGTAACATACCACTCTACAAGGTAAGAAAATCTGTTGTTTGGCTATTTTCAAAATAATTCTGAGAATTTTACACTCAAAATAACAGCTTTAGTAGACATTTCTTGAAAGCCAACCGTAAATAAAACTTGTCAGAACTTCTGGATCCCTAACTGGCTTTCAGATTGACCTTTTAGCCATAGACAGCCCTTAAGCGTTTATAAAGATGACTTCCTTAAACCATTGATTAAATGATTAGTGCATGTGTCCAGTTCTCTATATCTTTGACTTAATGCTTTCTACAACATTTCTGATGTCACTTACAAGGGAATAAGCCATAAAGGCTTCTCCAGGTTTAAGAGAACAGTAAAGTACCTGGAAAACCAACATATATGAATGTATGGACACAACTTGAGATCATATCCAATGAAAACTTCAAAAGAATCCAAGAATTTGCCCTATTTCCCCCATATGCATTACTAGTGCCATGTATAGGATGCTAGTAAATGTTAGATTAAAATTTGGTTTTGGTTCTATATATTTCCTATATCTTTTAATGCATAAACACATTTTAAATAGTTTCTTTTAACCTATGAGAATTACAGTCCAGTTGACTTGTTAATGGTAAATTACATTTTAAGTGACTCTGGGCAAGTTTGCAATGTGATAATCATTTTTAAAAAACTTTGCTTTCTTGTGTGAGTGTACTCACAATTTTTTAAAGTATGAACCACAGTTAACTAGTGGTCTCAGGGGTAGTGAACACTCACTTTTTTTTTAATGGCTTAGTTGAAATATGCTTCAGATACTGATTATGCTGTTAGTGATTTTGAGGGTGACTCAAATTAGCCATGTTTTGTGTTGGCATAACAAAACTGTTAAATGATTGTTGATTACACTTTTAAGTGAATTTGTCTTATGAGGAACCCAGTGCAAGTCACTAAATATTGTCTATCTGCATAACACTTGTAATAGCTAAGGTTAACTGAGCTTAAAGGAATTGTTACCATTAAAGTCTGTGTTTAAAGACACTTTGGTCTTACTCAGTAATTCCAGCCAATGGGAAATCCACACTTTAACCTAATGCTGTGGGTAAGTTCTCTTTTGAACTTTTTAAAACAAGTTAAAACTCATCTTTCAAGAACTTAGGACAGTGGTTCTCAAAGTGTGGTCTCAAGATCAGCAATATCAGTATCATTTGAGAAATTCTTTACGAGGGAAATTAACAGACCCCTCTCCAGGCCTACTGATACCGGAAACTGTGGAGTGGCACCCAGTAGCCTGTTAAACGCCATCTAGGTAATTCTCAAGTCTGTTTCTGGCTCTCCCTTTAGCAGACTATAGCAGTAATCCTTGGGCCCTATTTTACAAGTCTTAGTGTTCCATGGCAATGAGTTACACTCTGACCAAGTACTACCTTTCTAATCTGACAAATTCATAGTACTTAAAATTGTACTGTAGGTTTATTTACACATATAACATTAACATCCTACAATTAACTAATTTTAGTAGCAGTCTAACATTCAAATTATAATACTTAGATTTTTGGGGGTGTGTGGGGGGGAGGTGTTACGTCATTCAACCAATGGCCAGGTATATTTAAAAGTAACCAGATACAAAAGTCTGCTAAATGTTGATAGCTGAACAAAGATTTGAACCCTGGGCCCATTTTGTGATGTTACATTAAGCACTTTTTCCCAGTGTAATGAGAAAAGTAGGTATTTAGAAATGGGATTCAAAAAACATGGTAGCCGCCTGCCACTGCTTTCCCCTCCCTGCAAAAAGGAGAAACTACGTTAAAGATCAAAACTAAAATTTTCTAAAAAGGTTAGGAAGATTGAAATTAGTGAAACATTTGTTTTCGTTAGGTCCCCAGTAACTACCATTGTTGTGCATTCTTTCCTGCTCCCCTGTAACTACTTGTTCCTTTCTTGCCTCATTTTCTAGAAATTTTTATAATTTACTCTGGTACACAGTGTTTCTGATAATTATATCCCAGTTATACACTTTCTAGAAGAGTGTTTAAGAGCCCTCTTAATTTTTTTCTGTATTGTATAAAACATAAAATAACATTTTCATTTTTATATCCTATTGTCTAAGCCTCTATATAACCTTGATTTCTTGTTTACCATATCAAATTAATTTGAATAGCGTCAAGGCCAAACAATGGGAGTACTTTCATGCTCTAGTTGCTTAAGAACAGTTAACCACTGTCATTTGCCGACCTCCCAGCTGTCCCCTGAACTATATAGCTGCTTATTCATTATCTGCCTAAAAGGTAATTTTAAGATATCTAAAACTGACTTGATTTCTACACACAGTCATACACACACCCTTCCTGTTCTTGGCCTCAGTGAATGTAAACATCCAGTTGCACTGGCCCAAAACCTAGGCATCAACCCTGGTGTCTCAGTCCACTTCCAAATTAAAAAGCAGTCTTGTTTGTTCCACCTTTAAATTTTACTCAGAATCTTCATATATACTGCTGCCACAATGGTCCGAAGCTCCATTATCACTTGGATTATGGCAATAGCCTACTGAGTGATCTCCCTGCTTTTTACTTTGCAGCACTATCCCACACACAACACCCAGCACAATCTTTTTAAACCATATCAGTTCATGTCATCACTTTTCTCCAAACCTAATGGTTTCCCATCTCATTCAGAGTAAAAGCCAAAATAACTAAAAGCAGTTTACAGGCTGTATTGACTTCCCACCACCACTTCATCTCTAATTACTGTTATTTGCCTCCAGTGTCTCCCCAACTTCCTCAGCTCAGTCACACAGTTTTGCTGAGATGAACACAGCAGGCTTTCTACCACCTTAAGACATTTGCCCTTGTTCTTCCTTTGCCTAGAATTACCTTAACTCAGATATCATATGGCTCCCTCTTGCCTAATTGTTAGGTCTCTGTTTAAATGTCAACTTAGAGTGCTTTTTCTCAAGTATTCTGTATAAAATAACAACAGCATCACCATTACACTATACACCATGGCATATTCAGTGTTAGCCACCTGACATGTAATATCTGTTTCCTCCTCAACCCCATGCCAGAATGTAACCTCTATAAGATCAGATGTTTTTTTTTCTGTGCTCTGCTATATTCCTCAATGACTAGACGACTGCCTGGCACACTGTTAAGTGGTCAAATGTTTAATAATGCCCATGAGCTAAATGGTAGACTTTGCCAAAGGTATTCCTTGCTTGATTTTTGACTCCAAAAATACAAAAAACAAAAACTGCAATATACTATAGAAAAATAATAAAGGGAACATTCTTTACTCTCTGTTACAAGTAAAATACCACCACGGCAGGTAGATGGACATTTCCATTTCTATCATGGATCATTACCCTGACCAGCTCTCCTGTGAAAAAGCAACTAAGTATCCTGGGAAAAACTTAAAAAAAAAGAAATGTGTCAATAATCTGTCAAGACAGAAAGGAGTAGTTTCAAGCCAAAAACAAATTGAAACCAGAAATCCAAAGAGGAAGCGGAATATAACCAGAAACCAGTTTTCATCTTGAAAATGCTTGGGAAAAGAAAACAAGTGAACTATACTTTAATTTTTGTGACCCTGACAAAGCCCAGAATGCATCCAAAAAGTGGTGTCAAATAGGAAAAACTCATCCCTAATACAATGAGGAGTCTGCGTGCCTTGAATTTTGGTGCTTGGTAGCAGAATATTCATCTCAAAGTTTGTAATTATAGTTTAGTCCTTTGTGGAAATTTGCAGCCCTGAATCTTACTACACAGGTGGTCCCAGAAAACTCAAGCAGAAGATTTAATTTTTAAAGTAGTTCCAAGTCAGCAACCAGGTGCTGGCAGGAGCAAACAAATACCCTGCAGGAATTCTAATACTTCACCGTTAAAAATTGGGGTAAATAATTTTAAAAAAAGAAAGTAAAAAGGCACATAACACCATGAGTGGAAACCGTCCAACTTGCAAATATTTTGGATTTTAAAAATATCAGGTCGTTCAAATTGGAAAGGAAGAAGTAAAACTATATTCACAGATGACATGATACAGAAAACTCATAATAATAATACAATTGTTAGAGCTAATTGCATTCAGCAAAGTTGCACGACACAAAAATCAACACAAAAACATCAGTTTTATTTCTATAACTAGCACGGAACAATCTGAAAATGAAATTAAAAATTCCATTTACAATAACATTAAAAAGAATAAAATATTTAGGAATAAATTTAACCAAGGAAGTGCAAAACTTGTACACTGAAAACTACGAAACATTTCTGAAAGAAAGTAGTTGTAAATAAGTGGAAAGACATCCTGTGTTCATGGATTAGAAGATTTATTAGTGTTATGATGTCAATGATCCTCAAAGCAATCTACAGATTTTGCGTGATTGCTGTCAAAAATCTTAATAATTGTTTTTGCAAAAATAGAAGGTTTAAAAATTCATATGGAATTGGCAGAGTCAAACAATCTTGGGAAAAAAAATGTTTGCAGACT